AAAGAAACCATACGTCATCAGAGGCCGGGACAGTAGGTTCCCTGTGATATCTGTTTATCTTATCACGCTACATACGAGAGCTCAATTCTTTAGCGACATCAAGTGTAGGATTACGTGGCTCGAACAATTTAACCTGTGGAATTATACGTATTACTTCACGTGAATTATGTGGGCCTTGCCCTGAATGCGTCGGCTTTTCGCCAACAATGTTAATACCGACATTCAGTGAGATGCCATCGCGTCCTTCCTCGCTCGGTGGAATTCCACGTGCCACCTCACTCATATCAGAGGAATTACATTCTGGATGACTCGGCCCTAGAACAATCATGCGTGCAGCATTCAGTGACTTATTATCACAACGAGCATCACTCGACGGAGTACAACGCTCTTAGCATACGGTGAAAGAGCCGCGCTCAATATCAACGTCATTAAAATTAGAGTTAACTTACTCAGACACACCAATGTAAAGCACGTTGACATCCTCTGTCAATGGCTCGCGCCAATAGTACTTTTGTTGCCTATCAAAGGTGTATTCATGACTCTCCAAAGCATCGCTAGATATATTAGGCGTTGCGCCTATGGATATTAAACCTCCGATATACTTATGACATATAGCTTTCAATCCAGGCCGTACATAGGATGAGATCATATCTCGAATCCAAACGGAGGACGAGGCATCGTTCCGTGATGTCAAAGTCCATAAACTTTACACATAACTTCAAAAAAAACTTAAGGCACAGCGACACGACTACTGGTCGCTAGACGAACAGTCACTAAATTACCCTCATGCGCTATGAGCGCTTCAGCGTATCGCAGACCTCCCCTGAAGGGAACGACTTGGATCAAATTTACATGATGCTTCTGAATCGATTAAATCGACCACTGCTTCTCAAAGCCTTTCGCTATCGCCTCAGCGACTAACAAGCCAAGATTGTATCCACGTTCTATGTTGACGGGAACAGAGCTCAGTGGAGCTAAGCCCCGTTTTCCTTTACCACGTAGATAAGTAACAGAACGTAGTTCTACCCCAGTAGGGCGCCCCGCACCTACTGGGTGTCGACGTTTCCCTGTTCCATACCAGACTTCTGAATGGGGACGGGAGATCGACTCATAGCAGTCTGGCGCTGTTTCTGCAAAGGATTAGTAAGACGCGAATTTTTAATGCTTACGTACATGTAATAGCGTCTTTCTTCCATTTGTTGCTCCTTAAATTAAATATCAGCTCTACCTTCATCTTCAGCACGGCTGAGATCGATCGGTTCAGACTTACAGAAAGCCGAAATGATCGTCAAGTTGCCCTCAGAAATCTCAGGAAATACCCATTCCAACCAAGTCTGTCCGACAAATAAATAATCTCTACATATTGAGCGATGCTCACAACCTCTTCAAAAGTAGAGGAATGGACCCGAACGACCTCGGTTCTGGCCACGCCAGTACGAAGACCTTCCATGAACACAGTTACACAGACTGGCTCAGGGAGATGTCAGAATCCATAGCAGCCATCAGAGTTCTCAACCCTTGGACAAATTCCGTCAATTTATTCGTACCCGACGTATCGATAAGAAGAGTGATCGCACGCGATAAGCCTGGTTGGACGGAGCGAAAACTCGTAAACGATCTTATTTAATCCATTCCCATGTGGAAATCGCCAAGTCTACAGACGTATTACACGTCAGAGCCCACTCTCTAGCTCTGCCATCAAGCTTAGAAATAGCCAGCAAGACTCGCTGGTGCTCAAGTGAGATAAGGCTGGAACTCATGGAAATCTCAATCTCACGGATCTAAATGGTGATATTTTCTCCGTGCTTCCCGAAGTAAAGTTTGACGTCCACTTGAAGGGGACGAGGCTTAGCCTCTTTATCTGGCACCGCCTCGTAGCGTGTTGGCATAGCCGACACTACTTGGTTTTAGACCTGACCTAAAACTGCCGTTTATACTGCATGAAGGTATCGACGAGTGCATTACCACATCTAGACCTTGTGCAGATAGAAACTCCACATACTCAGGGACAATGGCCGCGGACAGCTTATAAAGCGCGACCTCTTGGGCCTCCTTGAGAGAAGTAGAATGCTCCCTCCTTACCGAGGATATGTTGTAATGACTCAGGCGCAGATTGAATTCAATCTCTACCAATTGTAGCGGAGCTACACAGCTAATTATGTCAGAGGAAGCATCAACTCCCAACAAGCAACCTTGGTTTCGAGAACCCGACTGAGAGAGTCGACAAGGTCAGAGAGCTTACGGTCCCTGTTCCAGGGGATCAAACAATTCAAGAAATTTACAGCACAGAGTGCTCAAGCGTAGCTACCTTTACAGACGTTGCGATCTATTAACGATCAAAGACGCCTCGTGAGGCACGTGTCTTGAGCGATCAAAATGGGAACTGAACTTTATATCTTTTTATCGAAAAGAACACCTCAGAACAACGTACTTAACCTAGTCACTACTGTTCTAATTAATACCTCCTAAAATATCTCTTTAATCGGTGGCTGACACACGTCAGCCCCCGACAATCAATATGCTGTTTAGTATCATTATTATAATACTCCGTTCCTTGTGTACCACACATGTTGCGCAACCCGTTACACCCACACCTGTTGTGTTATCCCGTTAAATCGGCGAACAAAGTAAATTTCAGTCATGGCAAAAATTGCAACACCATATTGCCGCGATCAGCACGGTCTTCTTCAGCATTCTCGAGTGTTTTAAAGACACTGTTGCACCAGCGGGTGCATGCTGCACGATATGTTGAGATACGACAGATACGCGCTTCTTCCGAGAAATGGAGATGGAGGTGATTAAGATCGTCCGATTAGCAAGTTTGATGCAGAGCAAATATACCGCTTCGCAGACTGACCGCGGAGATGTCCCTGTTTTTGGTGGGGTGGGGTTCGTAGAATAAGACCAACTCGTGTCTTGACTTGCATTTCTCCACCTATCGAGCGCGATCCAGTAACAGTAGCCCGAGCTTAGGCCATTTGAGTAATGCCACGGCCGTTATTGTTAATCGACTGTTGGCAACAGATGATCTACAGTCGGGATTGCAAACATTGAAAATGAAATTGGGGTTCTGTAGCGAGCTCTATGAACGCGCGCGCACAATTTGTTTGCAGAAATACCGTTTGTGTACGGAGTTGTTCGAGTCGTTTGAGCGCGACCGCGATTGGTAAAGTAACTTCTTTCGACGCTTCCCGGTTCGAACAGACAGAGAGATCATTGGTCTAGTTTTTTTGCGGCCAAAATATATCTAGATTAAATTTTTTTTAATTGAAACGGTAAGAAAGCAGGTAGATATTTTTTTTCTTAAAGGTTTTTTTTATTATTTTGCTATGTCATTTAATTGGTATGATTCCCTATAGTTTACAATAAAATGATAAAAATGTCAGAAAGAAGGTAAAAAAGTAAAATAAAAATTTATTCTCAGTTATATAACCACTAGTTCAGAAACCTAATTGCTTAAATACTTATTTGTAGATATAAATAAATTAAAGATAGTTGAAATTATTTATTTCGGATAAAATTAAGATTGAGGTCAGACAGGAGCCACTTCTGCAATGGAATTAAAGTTGCTTCAGCACATTGACACCGTGCGTTCAGATAGAATTATTTTTTATTGTATGTTTTTATTATTACGTCTTTGCCTGATGTAGTTGAGGTGTAAATGTAATTGATGTATATTATAATTTTGGTGTGACTGCCGTATGATAATGTGTAACGGATAGCTTTGCTATCGCAATTGGTACGTAGTTCGTGGCGAGATATTTTTTAGTACTTCAACCCTCGACTAGCTTTTACACGTCTCAACAGTGTTTCGTTCGTTTAAACTTTGCAGAACCTCGTCAAATTACAAATATAGCAGACTATCTACCGCATGGTGCTTTCACCGTGAATGGCGTATTTCGCGTCCTCTAAATTGGTCCAATTCTCCGCTAGTTTACGCTTGGATGCTGGAGACATCATTCGTTACACCAATCTGGCTGTAAGTTCTGCAAAAGCACCTCTTACCGAGGACTCTTGTCGTCGCTCGCTGTGGCGCTGTAGCGGCCAAGATTTGCATTATCAAGATGCCAGCCAGGAGTAGTCAGCGCTCCACGAGTCCCTGCTGCAGAACGTGACCAACCGAAGCAAGGGCTACGACCATCATACCTTAGTTCAGTGTCATGTGCCCGGCGCCCCGCGGCCTTGCCTACCTTACAGCACGGCCGAGCTTGTGAGTGAGCGCTTGAGCGCATGCAAGAGTACAATCACCTCGCGTAGAAGGCATGCGGAGCGATGCATCTGTCGATGTGCACACCCATTCGGTGTCGTGTAAGTAAATCGCCGCCGCCGCTGCATAAAAGTTGTAAGTATCTTGCAGAGAACAGGGAGACAATGCGGAAGGCAACACTTTGAGCCAATACGGACAAGCCAGGCCAAGCGGACTTACCAAGATTGGCCATATTTGTGCGATGACGACCTCTAGTTGGTCGGAGAAATGAATTTGGCGGAGCTTGATGGTAGCATCAATATCATCTCTTGTAACGACCACAACCGAAAAACGCTCAAAAAGCGGGACGATGACCAGGGCAAGAATCGTGGAACCTCTCGGTAGCTGTTGCGGCATGCCTTTCTTCAATGACCCATGGTGAGCGACGCTGGTGTAGACCGCATGCTACCGCTCATGGACCACATTGTGATTTCGGTGTAGCATTACAAGTAGGCCGAGACTACAGCGTAGGCTTGATTCTAGACGGACTAGATTCGGCCAGAGTTGCTCTGGTGTGCGTCGGGCACTTCAATGTTGAATGAGACACAGGTGTATTATCAACAAAGCTTTGAAGCACACTGGTTTTTTTTGTTCCCTATATGATTTCTGCGCTATCGTGGGAGTAGTCATAGAACTGTGACTCGTGTGAAAGCCCTCCCCTTTGATGACGACGCGTTACTAGGATGCATACGTACCGTAGCTGCTTGCAAGTGCTGAGAATTCGGAAGTGCTTCTCGTGGTCGGACTGACACGCTCAAAGTACGAGGCGGCTCACAGGTTTGGCGCTCTCAATCATCTGCTCTACTAGGCTTAACAGTTGGCGCTGGCGGCGACCTACTCCTGGACTCAGTATTAGTACAGAAATTTCGTGTGGTGATTGACACTTCTCGAGCTTCTTGTTGTAGAACGTACTGGCAGATCTGTATTGCCACAGAAATTTCTTACCTATCGAAGGGTTAACACCTTTGGCCTTCATGCTAGCCTTGATGATCCTCAGCGATCGATCAAAAGAATTCGGGTAGATGAATGAGACACTCATAAGTCGGAGAAAATTCTCGGGACCTCCGACGCTCTCAATCATAAGTTGGTCGTACAGATCCGGACCTTTTCCAGGCTTGGCAAGTGCACAATACTTCATCAGCACGACGTCTTCTGCACTGTCGCCCATTAAGAAGCGGTAAATAGAACGCCCAGGCAGTTTCAGATCCTTCATTACGTCCACAGGGTCCCGCTTGCTCGTAACCCACCGACGTATCAGGACCATCAAGTGCACCTCCCCAAAATGTTGCACCTTCTCGTCCTCTGACGATAGCAGACCGGCGAGGTCCCTTGCCAAATCAGATTCGTCTTCCAACGAGAGAGGGGTCTTGATGATACCTTCGTAGTGCGACATAGTTACCAGCTCTCTCACCGCTCGATGCTTCATCAACGTCTTGTCCACCACAGTTTCTGGAAACGCAGCCCTGAACACATTATGAGGCTTATTGAAGACATGCTCCTGCAGCTGATACTTGACCAAGGCCGAGCTTACAGCCGACTCGATCTTATTGACAACACCTTCGCCAAGAAGCCCTCCGCCCATGCTGATGCCTTGAACGCTCGACCTCAAGGACCTGCTGAACGAGATGTCATCGTGACCGTTGGCCAATGCAGGAACGACAGTCGGGGCACGGAGTCCCGTTGCCGTCGATGCCGCAGCCTCTAAGACGCTGTCAGTGCAGGGCTGGAGAATGGACGTGGTCGCGAGCGCGAAAGCGGTGACGCGCATGGTTGGGAAGGATTGGGTATGGAGCGACGAAAATGCGAAGCGCTTTAGGATTGAGTGGGGGCCGACAAAAATGCGAAGTGACTCAAAACTGGAGACAAGAGCTTGCTTACTGAAACAGGCAGCCATGGTGTGGAAGAATCATGGCGACGGGAATGCAAATTTTTGCATGATTGAAGTTCTCTTCCTGCTCTTCCCATTCTACTCCACATGCCTCTACGCACGCGAGACACCTCCAGTCTGCAAGTTTCGCGACTTCATACAGGTGGACTCGAATGGACAAGATCTTATCTCAGTAGTACGATCAGTTTTGACAGATCGTGTGGCCTCTCCTTGTGATTGGTGGTAGCGTGGCCTTCCCGTAGCAAGTTTCCGTGAATGCAGATGGTCCTGTTTGCTGATTTGTTGCAAAGGTATTGAGCCATCGAGGACTAGCATGTGTATATATCTGCAGCTTTCAGCAGTGTCCGCTACGCGCTACTCAGCCCCTGTAACTAGCTCGGCGATTGGAATCGTAGGCTACTTGGAATATTGTACGACACCGCAACGAGTCCGCGTCCACGTTCGAATTCCAAGCATTGGTGTGCACCAAGTCGTTCCAGAATCAGATGCACTGGATAGTTTCCCGGGTCGCGACAGTCATCAGCCGGACCAGAAGCAGTCGTACCCAAAGCTCGGATCTGTTTGGTGCCGATCAGCTTATTGCAACAAGTGGTCCTCGTCGGCTGATGCTGCATCGAGAAGCTGCTCGACGTGAAGCCGGCACGCACGCAAAAGACTGGTGTGCCGAATGTGCCGTGAGTTTACAAATGCTGCAGACATACTTTACGCTACTCAAAGAGATTGTCAGTGACGCAAGATGACGATTGTACCCATGATGAAAACAGGTGCCAAAGATGTAGGGGTTGTCACGACTAACAGGTCCCGTATCGGTTGTGTCCGTAGTGGCGAAGGGCCGGGTCATGTAGCGTAGTGGGCGTCTTTTTGGCACAAAGAAACCATGAACGGTGTCGTCTCTTATTGTGTAACGGCGCTGATGTAATTCTACTCAATTGTTGTACGTTGTGCGACCTTCGGTGGTACCGCGATACCGTACTAAGTCTTGAGATCTAGAAACGCCTGGCGCCATTGTTAGCAACTCATCATTCTTGTGTAATTATTGTATTGACTCTTTCCATCTTGGCTTACAAAAGATGCATCTTGAGTTGGACGATTTGTCGCACCCACAGCGCCAAAAATGATACCCAGTGTAGCGTTGTCGCGATACAAGGTATAGACGTGAATGCAACCACAACAGCGACGCCGTGAGTCACCACGATCTGGCTCGCACCAAGCTTACGACAATTATGCTTGACAAGACGACATTGGCGGCCAAGTTGCCATCTTATTATGGCACATTGGTCGGCGGGGTCGCCTCGTTGGCATATGGTCGTTGAACTTGGCGCGATATCACGACACGCATCATCTTGGTGGGAAGTGTAACGGGGCACACCCTTGCGTAACTTAACGCAAGGGATTTGGGTGCCCCGACGGACGTACACGTGGCAAGCGAGGAAGCGTAGGTAGGGTAAAAGTAGAACTGTTATATTAATAAATTAAGTCTTTAAACTACTGTCTCTTCGTTTGACTTAATTCAATTATACTAATATAACTGCATGTATGGTGACGTCTCGTCACCACTCATTGCGCGCGTCTTGCGGCGATTGGTGG